TCTCTCTCTCTCTCTCTCTCTGTGTGTGTGTGTGTGTGTGTGTGTGGACGCACATGTGCATGCATGTGTAGTTCCCTGTTATGTGCTTGCTGACTGTCTCATCAAAAGACGTTGTCTGGGCTTGGACAACACAAATAAGCTAGAAACAGGATGTGTGGCGGTGAGATGCGGCTCAGCCAGTGACAGTAACTATCCCTAAGCCTCAAGAGCTGAGTTCAGTGGTCAGAACCTACGTTGAGACAGAGAGAATCTCAACTCCCACTGGTTGTTCTCTGTGTGGCGTGTGCATAAACACAAGCACACATTAAGCAAGAGGAAAGGAAGCGGGGGTGGGGGGAGGGAGGGGAGGAAGGAAGGAGGGGGAGCCCTGATGTCAGGCCCAGCTGAACAGACAGAACATGTGCTAGTCAGGCTCTTCCATGCTGCTTGCCCAGGACGGCAGTGGGCAAAGGCTGGCACAGCGCTCGCACCTTTCTTCAGAGACACCTCCACCATGATTCTGTAGTTGGGCTTGGCGGTGCTGGCAGGGGAGGCTGGGCCCTCCAGGGAGAAGGGGCTGCTGTCCTGGGCACCGCACGTGCTGGAGCTCAGGGAGCGGCACAGAGGCGGTGACACGTGGCTGCAGAGCGGCGGGGGCGCCGTCAGGCGGGTCCTCACGGTCAGGGTCAGCAGCCCCTTCTTGGCTTGCTGGAAAAGAGCGACAGCATTTGGAGCAGTTCTCAGACAGGTGACAAAAACAGATGGCCCGTAACAATGACGGATGTCCCCCAAGGAAGCACAGGTGTGTGTACATGCATAGTATACAGACATGTGACTAGTTACACAGGACGCGTACGTACATATACACCCAGAGCATACGTGTGATATGACATGTGACGTGGGTGCTTAGCCCAGGCAGACTCTTGAATTGAACTAACTGGATGGAGATGCAAAACGGCTTTAGTGATTTTAAAAACTCAAAACACGCTGGGCGTGGTGTTTTAATCCCAGCACCTTTAATCCCAGCACCGGGGAGGCAGAGGCAGGAGGATCTCTGAGTTCAAGGCTAGCCTGGTCTACAGAACAAGTTCCAAGACAGCCTGAGCTACTCAGAGAAACCCTGTCTCTATCCCCTCTCAAAAAAAAAAAAAAAAAAAAAAAAAAAAAAAAAAAAAAAAAAAAAAAAAAAAAAACCTCAAAACACATGATAAACTACTATTATAAATACATGGAGTGTTTTGAGACAGTTTTGTAAGTCTTTAGTACTTCGAATGTTCTGATTCTACTAACATTTGTAGAAGAATTTCCTTAATGTGCCCAAGGGCAGCATCAGCTAGGCAAAGGTTAGGTCCCTGCAAAGGACCAATTTTTAATTGTGTGGCTTGGAGGAAGCAGTTGATGCTGGGTTTGGTTTCATTGCCTGAAGGCCCCAGACCGTGGACAGAGGCTGAAAAGTCACCTTGAACTTCTGCAAAGCCTCCTGGTGTGTTAGGCCAGCCATTGATTCACCATTGAGCTCCAGAATTTCATCGCCTGTTGAGAGACAGAAAAGCAGTAGCTGACAAGCTCTATTCGGGCTTGTGGAATATACTCGCGGCCTCGTGCCCTGTCCCGATTTGTGCCTTCCGAGGCTAGCCCGTGGCCTTTAGGGTTCACCACGCTTGAGCAGTGCCTGGGCCACCGATCACCAAGTACCAACTTTGCCACTCGGATTTAACAGTGTTTCCTGGCAGCTTGGCATAACTGGTCTTTTTTAGCTCAGATACTGTTTTATCCAATGTGTGTATGTGTTAGAAACTGAGGCTGGGGAGCAGCTCAGAATGGAGGGCCTCTGCAACCAAAGGAACCGACAACAGAGCTGAACCCCAGTCACCAGAAGACTTCATGGGACTGAGAACACACACACAGTAAAAGTATTTAAAACTACTCCAGGCATGGAATCTCAACACTCAGGAAGCACAGACCACAGAATCACCAGAAGTTGGAGGCCAGCCTGGGCTACTTATTGAGTCCGAGGCTAGTCAGGGCTACAAAACAAACAGAATCGGAACGTAATTAAATGTGTGCTGGGAAAGGGATAGGCAAAAATCAAAACTGCAGAATGCCCCCTCTTAATTCCTCTGGGGCTGGCTCTAAGTGATTACAATATCTGTCCCCAAAGGCCAAATAAGCCAGTTCTGGGCCTGTCTTGTCGTGTCCTCATTTGGCCGTATCTGGTGAACATTGATGAGCCTAGGTTGTGCCAAATCTATTTTGCACAATCGTTTTTGGGAAGGAGAAGAAAAACAAATCATTAGTGGCTTTGATCTGTGCAGCAAGCCTGTCATAACCAGCGTATTCCCCCAGAGTCGGTTTGAGAAAGCCACTTTTGAAAACAATTAGGCCAATTATTTGAGGCTCGAGCCAGGAATTGACTGGTTGGAATTTTCTGTTTTTATTGTTGTTATTAACTAAGGGAGACAAATCCCCTGCCCTCCCTCAAAAAAAATCGAGGGTTTCCAAAAAAGTACAAAAGTAACAGAACACCAAAGCACACACCCTGGATTCCGGCCCACTTCCCTTCTCTGGCTCCTGTTCTTCGTCTTGACTCGGCTGTTCCTCTAGACCTGCTCTCGGTCCCTTTCCCTCCTCTTCCTCTTCTTCCTCTACACCTTTCTTGTTCTTTAATTCACCCAGTCTCCTCTTTGCCCAAATCTCCCTTGAAGGGCAAGCACAGTTCAGTGGCCTGCCAGACAGCGCCATCTAGTGCTCATCCAGGCACATCGCCCTCCTGCAGTTAACTTCCTCAGCCATTTCCTCTTCTCTTCCCCCTTGGCCTCCTCTTCCTTTCCTCCAGTGGACAGGAAACTGGAAATCTTCACGTGTCCCCATTATTCACGTACTGCCTCTTCCCAGGCTTTGTCCATTCTCATTGACTCGAGACCTCTGGAAGGGTTCCTGTTCCAGACAGCCTTAAGAACAGGCCTCCCGTGCCAGCCTCTGAACGTCTCCTCTGCTTCCTGCCAGCCCACTGTATCTATACATTGCTTCCTGACTCACCCAAGACCTCTCTATCCAGTGCCTCGCCAAGGATAAATGCAAAACCTCCCACTGCCCAAATCTGCACAGTGCTTGGGTTGGCAGTGTTTTCTGTAAAGAGCTGGATAGTAAATATTTAAGTCTTTGCAAGTCATACCGTTTCTGTTATGATGACTCAACACAGGGTTGGAACATCAAGGCAGCCATGGCCTCATATGAAAGAACATGGCTGAAATTTGAACCCTATTATAATGTGCACATATCACAAAGAATCAAGATAGAATGCTTTTCAAATTACATTTTATTAATTTTGTGGGGGGGCATTGTTTGAGGGTTTTGTTTAATTTTGTTTGTTTTTCTTTTCTGAGAAAGGGTGTCTGTGTGTAGCCCTGGCTGTCCTGGAACTTGCTCTATAGACAGGCTGACCTCGAACTCACAGAAATCCACCTGCCTCTGCCTCCCGTGTTTAAAGGCATTTGCCACAACCATCCAACAGTAAATTTTTTAATGTACTTTTAAAAAATTAATTGATTGAAGACTGATGATTGATTGATTGATGTGTATAGGTCTTTTGCTTGCATGTATATCAGTGCTCCACACGTGTGCCTGGTACCCTCAGAGGCCAGAAGAGGGCATCAGATTCCCCGGAACTGGAGTTACAGATGGGTGTGAGCCACTGTGTGGGTGCTGGGAATCAAATTCCAGTGTTCTGGAAGAGCAGCCAGTGCTCGGAATCACAGAGCCATCTCTCCAGCCCCTGATAGAACTGTTTCAATCATTCAGAGAGGTAGAGGCCTTCCTTTGTTGTGATATAGGCCTGACCTCTGGGATTATAGTGTCCTCACTGTCCCCTAGATAATTCAGGATGCCACAGTGGGTGGACTTCCAGCCTGGCTTGCAGACATTGCTCTGACAAGGAAGAAATCCCTCTCTTCTCTCCTCCCCTCCCTACCCCTCCCCTCCCCTCTCCTCTCCTCCCCTCCCCTCTCCTCTCCTCTCCTCTCCTCTCCTCTCCTCTCCTCTCCTCTTCTCTTCACTACTTGTCCTTGAAATTTGTCCCCTGACTGAAATCCAGAGATCCCTTTGGACCAAGCTGGTCGCCCAACAGTCCCAACACAGACTTGAGGTGAGGTGGAGCAGGGCTCTGGCAGCTCTGTCCCCAGGCCTCTCCTCACTCAGAGGGAGCTTCTGTCCACTGAAGATATGAAGAGAACTTGGAGGAAGGGGCTGGAAGAAGGAAGGCCAGTGGGGGAGCCATTCACAGTTCAAAAGAGGGGTTCTGTCTGGTTTTCTTTGTATAAAGCCCCCCCCAAAAGATGCCTCTTTGTTGAAGATGCTGCAGAATGGCTGGCTGTTTAGAACTGTCTCACTGTGGAGAGTAGGGATGTTGCAGATCATTATTTTAGGCTATCTATGGTTGCCTTAATAGTCATGTATCGCTCTCCATCTTTGTATCTGACCTAGCATCTTTCAGACTACTGGGTAGAATCTTTTCTAATGTATTAACTCAGCAGATCACTACTGCCCACCAACGTAAAAGCTAGGAATGCTGTTATATGTCCTCTATAACCTAGAGCAGAATTTACCCATTTCACCATACCCCACCTGCCTGGTGTTCCCAATGCTCCATGTGAAGAGGCCTTGACTTTTGGCTTCTTTTCATTCTATGATCAGAAAAGACTTCACAGGATCCCTTTTACAAAGTGCTTTGGCAATCTAGATGTATGTTCCTAGGCCATGGTCACTCATAGAAAGCTCAGAATAAACTTGGTCTTATTCCCACCGGTGTAAGAACTGTGGTTTGTGCCAATGTACCTGTATTTCTAGAGCCCAGAGCAGCAGTTCTCAACTGTGGGCTGCAACCTCTTGGGGGAGGCAAACGACTCTTTTACCAAGTTCACTTAAGACCATCGGAAAACACAGGTGTTTACATTACAATTCATAACAGTAGTAAGTTATGTAGCCGCACAATAATTTTATGGTTGGGGTCACCACAACATGGGGAACTGTATTAGAGGGTCACAGCATTAGGAAGGTTGAGAACCACTGGCCTAGAGCTTCCTGGAACTCTGAGAATTGTACCCACTCATCGGTCAGAAATGCTGGACCTGGTGTCCCGTGGTTTCATGTGGAGCAGGGCAGGGAAGATGAAGGAGAAGGGGTATCAGTGAGCTAGAAACTGAACAGGGACACTGGAAATGAAAGAATGGAGTCAACCAAGAACAAAGGCTTCATCCCAGGCTAACAAAAGAACCAGGGGGAGCTGCTCCTCCTGGGAATGATAATCTGGCCATCACTATGATGGCGCCCTTGAGGGGAGAAGTTTCCCTCTAGAGAAGTACACCTCCCTGCCCACCACCACCACCACCACCACCACAAAAGTGTCCTCTGGAAGCCCAAGATACACTTTAAACTTTCAGCATCTTCTGTGCCCTGGCAGCTCCGGACTGTGCTTTTGCCCTCTCTGCTTGCCACACCCCGAGGGATGGAAACCTACCTTCCTGTAGCCGTCCATCAGCAGCAGCTGCGCCCCCTGCAAAGATGCTCTTCACGTAAATCCCAATGGGGCCGTAAATGCTGTCCTTTCCCCCAACAATGCTGAAGCCCAGGCCCTGGGGAGAGAAGAGAGGGCTAGGTGTAGAAAAGTCCAGCTGTTTCTGGGACTGATATTTTTCTATGGACCTGCCCAAGTCCTGAAGAAAGGAATCAGGGAGGAGACAAAGTCCCTAGAGTCCCAGGGGGTCTCAGAGATTAACCAAGCAAGGCCAGGAAAAGCAGTTTGTAGCCAGTTTGGGCTATGGAGTATCGGAGGCTGGCCCACAAAGCTGACAGATGGAAGTTGGGTAGAGACTAGTACCTCACTTTCTCCACCTGACTATTTTCATCCAATCACCTCCTCCTTCTGATGCTCAAACATTGTTGTAAAAAAATATATATTGTAAAATAAGGTTATATAATTCACAGGCTGTACTTGAAAATAAAATACAACACCCAGAAACATCAAGGAGACATTAATGGCATTAATAGTAACAGCTTATGCGATGGAAATCATCCTTCTTGTTACCAGAGGCCCCGTGTTCCCCTCCATTCTGCATCTATCCTGTCCCCTGACTAAAGACACAAGTCGCCTGCTCTTCTGACAGGTGCTGTCCTCCCTGTAATTATTTCTAGGTTGTTCTCAGGAGCCAACCAGCACATCCTAGGATTATGTTGGTGGCACCAGGAGAAGCCGGGGTTCAGCAGACAGCCTCAGCTGTGGGAACAGCCACAACACAGTCAAGGTAGGTCTGATGCAGAACTGCCCCGTGGAAGGTAAGGATGATGTCTACAGCCGGAAGAGAGGGAAGAGGGGGTCTGGCTTCCCCTGAAGACTTGCCAGGAGATTAAAGCGACAATCTGGACGGGGCTTAGGTAGCAGCAAAGGGAACAGCTCCATTTGTTATGTTGAAGACGGAGGATCTCTGTAATTCCCAGATAAACTGAGTTTGATCTCAGGGAACTCCCTTTTTGACTGTGAGCTGCTAAAAGTTAGTGAATCTCACTTTTCAGTGACTGGCCTTAGACAAGTGCTCAAGACACCAATGGTGTAGACTCATGCAGGTCTTTTGGTTCAATTCAGAAGCATCTAAGTGGGCCTGGGGGCTCGGCTCCTACACAACTCTTTAAAGTGATGGTTGCCACTGGTGATGGCATCACTATTTATCAATTGTTCATCTCAGACCCACAGCCCTAGGAGCCCACACGGAAACAAAAGTATCAGTGGTGAGAGAGCACCCCAGTGTCTCTTGTGTTCACCTCAAAACATGCTACCTTATCCCTGGAGCTTTGTATTGGGTACCTTCTTGGTCGCTGTGACCAAATGCCCGGCTTGTTAGTCAGAAAGTGGGACTGTCCAGAGAGAGCCTCACTGCCCATGATTCTCCCTTTGGCTTGAGGGGCCTTCTTTGCATTCCCTGCTTGTCCTCCAGGAGTGAGAAGGAACAGATGACAGACGGAAAGACGACTCCAGGTATGTGGTGAGTACCCTCCCTAGAACACAGTGGCCTTGAAGCCCTTACCTCACCTCGACTGAGATGTATTTGGGTAGGTTAAATAAGCCCACCGTTCATCTGAACAGCTGGGGGGTTTAAACTGGTTTGAAAATGTGGTAGCAGCTGCCTGTGTCTGTCCTAGTTATTTTAGGCATGAGCAAGTCTGTTCCAGTTTGGATGTGAAATGTCTGAGTGCTTTGTCCTCAACTGGTAGGGTTGTTTGGGGAGATGGTGGTACATTTAGAAAGCAAGGCCTACCTGGAGGAAGTAGGTCATTGGAAGGTAGGCAATAGAATGTGTGGCCTGACCCCACTTCCTACTCAGCCTCTGTTTCCGGAACCACTGAGATATGAGCAAGGAGCCTCATGCTCCTGACACCAGAGGCGAGGGCAGCTTCTGCTGTGGTGCCTTACCTATGGCAATGGACCAGGCACTCAAACCATCTGCCTGGACACTTCCTCCCTTAAGCCATTTCTTGTCAGGCATTTGGTCAAGGCCACCAGAAAGGTGTCCAATACAAAGCCCCAAGCGTGGGGTGAGCACAGGAGATCCTGGGGATTGTTCTCTCACTGCTCACACTTTGGTTCCCTCTATTGATACTTCACAGCCATGGGGTAGACATAGTATGCTGTGCCATCATCTATACAAAGCAGAGTCCATTCGGGCTCTTCAGGATGCTCCGACAGAGGCCAGGACATCTGTGGCCATCGAATGACTTGTACGGAACAGGGTGCATAGAGTTTGGAAAATTTGTGTTTGAGTCCAACTTTCTTCTGCCTGAATGTGGAGGTGAAATTCATTCCCATAAATCTACATAAGGGATTTTAATGTATGTATCAAGCAATACGATAGGGAATATCATGTCAAGGCGGAATAGGAAACAAGCTTGGAGAGTGCTCAAGGGGAGCACTGTGGTGTCCTCAGAGAGGAAATGATCACTTGGTGGAACTGGAAGAATCGGTGTTGCTTGAACTCAGCGGGTGCTCGTGAGCTTGTGTTTGGCTCTCTGCTGCACTCTGTGTTACACAGCCCTGTTCCCACTCCACCTCAGAGCAACAGCTCCTGGAGGAGAACGCTGCACCAGGGCTTCCTGTTGGTAATGATCTGTGCTCACCTTTGCTTGGCCCTTCATCAGCACGATGTTGGAGATGACTGAAGCCTGCAGACCCCCAGACAGCTGCCCGAGCTGAGCTGTGCTCAGTGACCGAGTTGGTCTGGCAGTGCCCTGTAATGAAGAACCCGAGAGGGCAGGAATGAGCCACCTGTGACATCCGCCAAGGAGAAGAGCCCCACCCTCTATCTCCAAGGGTCAGCAGGATAAGCGCTGGAAGGTGATTTCTGGGATGCCATTCAGATTCTGGTGGCTTGGACAGGAAGCTTTGCTCGAGGTGACCTGGTGGCAGAGCAGCAAGCCAAGGCTCACACAGGCTTGTGAAGGTTGTAAGCCAGGGGTAATAATACACAGACCACACTGCCCCCAGAAAAAAACCCTACAGGCCAGGCAAGACCTTCAGCTGAGTTAGAGACATCACTGTAAACTGTTCAGCTCAAAGCATGTATACCAAAAGCTCTGCTTGTCCCAGGCCCAGTGCAGTAGCCATGAAATCTAGACCCCAAAGACTCAAAAGGAGACTATGAATTCCAGGGGAGACAGATGGAGGCTAGCCAGCTGCATCAAAGAGGGTGTCAACCAAGAGCAGTTTTGTGTCCCAGAGCCCCAGTGGGTAGCAGCGTGGCTTAGTGGTGATGCTGATACTTTGGAAGCCACATCCGTGTCCCAGATTGTTCTCCTGGCTCTGCCGGTTATCAACTGATGATCTTGGAGAAGTGACTTAGTCCCTCTGTGCCTCCGTTTCCTCCAGTAAAAGATGCATGGCTTCAAGGAATAGTTAACTGTGCTAACCATGCAGGTGCTTAGGGCAGGACGTCACCTCCGGGAAGTGCCTATACATCCTTCCTTTGCTATGCGCTGCTGTAACTACTGTGCTGCTTTGCTATGTGTCTGTGGCCTGGGAACACCCTAGCGCTTCCTATCTGGCCACCAAGCCAGCACGTGAGCCGAGAGTGTGTAAGGGGGCTCCAGGATCCCTGCTCACGAAGATCTGGTGTTGCAAGGTGAGGCGCATCCATAACTAGCCTGTAGGGAACCTGGAGTCAATTTGGGCTTCAGGACCATCACTCTCTAAAGAAACAGCTCATCTTCCTCTACTCCCTCCGTCCTCTGCCCCCCCCCCACCGCTGCTGCTGTTCCCTTCCCTCTTCATACTTGGTTAGGTGATCTACCCGAAGTTACTACAATATCCCAGGCTTTGCATCCATAAGCTCCACCCAAGGCTGTCCCTCCCCCTACCCCAGAAACAACCCTTCTGGAATCCTGCCTTGGAAGCCTCTATGCAGTTAACTTATCAATGTCACTGGCAAGAGATGGTGTCCAGTCAAACATTATTCCCTCTCTCTCTCTCTCTCTCTCTCTCTCTCTCTCTCTCTCTCTCTCTCTCTCTCTCTCTCTCTCTCTCAACTTGTCCTCTGACCTCCACATGCAGGCTGCTGCACTCCCACCACCCCCACACAAAAATACACAGACACTCACAAATTGTTACACGCCAGTATTATAGATAATAATAAATTCTTCAGTTTGTCAATGCCATTTCCCCAGTCCTCTCACTTCAGAGTTATTGTGCAGGTGAAATTGAGGGATGCTTGGGAAGCTTTAGTTGAGCTGGGGAACAGGGTGTGTGTGTGTGTGGGGGGGTGTCTCTATGGGCTCCTAACAGTGCAGAAGTGACATGTACCTGGCACAAGGGGGCGCTTGACAGGCAGACCTTCCTAAGTGATTCTTGCCTAGCAGGGTGCTTTAGCCATCTAAGCAAGCTCTCTGCCGGCTGTGGGCAGAAAAGCACCACTGTGGCCATTTCACAGCCTCCTGTTCCACATCCCCCCACGCCAGCTCCGCGCCCCTCCCCTCCATTTTACCGAAGCTGGGTAGTCCAGTTGTTGAGAGAGAGACTTCCTGTTGCTGCAGAGAGAGTACGGCTGCCGGTCGGTGGGAGCCGCAGATTTCTTCGTCACAGGGAAATCGATTTCTCCGGTGCAATAGGGATTCACACCTGAACAGAGAGGGAAGTGGGAAAGAAGCAGGAAGACATCATTTGTGTGCACCCAGACATCAAGCGTGTGACAAAGAACATACCCAGCCTCGACCACCAACCACCAGGCCTTCCTGAGGCGAGGGTCCGAGGGGCCAGAAACCATCCAGCGCCCAGGACGGTTGGTGCGGCCCTCGAGGCTGTGGAAGACACAGCATCACTCTAACTCTCTTCATCCATGAATTTGGTGCTGCAGGGTGCAACAGAATTCTTCACCAGAGTGGGCCCCCATTGCACCCCTGTCCAACTCAACAAGAGGTGACAGGGGTCTTCTGCATGCCACATCATGCTTGTAGTCCAGACTGCCCGGGGTTTTCAATCCCAACACAGGGGCAGGAGGCAGCACAAAGGTTCCTGGGATAGGAACTGAGCCAGGGGCCAAGCAGGGAGCCAACGAGTGACCACATGGGGAGACTTGGCAGCGAGAGGGTGGGCCCGTGGGGTCCTCCCATGCAGACCCCTTCCTGCCCTTACACACCCCTCACACAGGCAGAGGGCCCAGGAGTACTCCTGTCTCCCATGTACACACCTCACACAGGTGAACAACTTGAATCTTTGGGGATTTGTGGAAATACAAACTATTAGCTCCCTGGTCTGTGTGGCATCCCAGCCTTCCTGTCTTTCACCCAGCTCCACCACCACCCACCACCACTCACCACCACCACTCACCACCACCACTCACCACCACCACCCACCACCACCAC